GAGAGAGAGCACAAGCATGCAGGGAGGCAGGCAGAGGCAGAGAGAGAAGCAGGCTCCCCACTGAGCAAGGAGCCCAATGCGGGGCTCAATCCCAGGACCCTGAGATCATGACCCGAGCCGAAGGCAGTGGCTTAACCCACTGAGCCACCCAGGTGCCCCTGAAGCTTTGTTTATTTTTATTTATTTTAGGATGGAAGAGACGTGAGTATTTTAAGTACTAAGAGCAAAGACCCAGATGAGGAAGGAATGATTGGTAGAGTGAGACTCCCAGGAGGCAGGAGGAGGAAGGATTCTGGACATAGGAGAAAAGCAGGTCATATGGAAGCCAAGTTTGTGTGTAGCAGGGCAGGGAAAGGAGGGAGTTCTCATGTTGCTATTTTCTTTACAAAGAAGGAGATTAAAAAAAAAAGTGATTGTGAAACATAGGGGGTGTTAGGTTAGGGAGTTTCTTGCAAATGGTAAAGAATATTGCAAGAGATACTGTGAGGGATGGAAAAACTGGACAATTGGGACACCAAGAAGAAGTGCCAGGTTTCTTAGAGCACTTAGCTGAATTACAGAGCCGGAATTTGTGGTAGCAGCAGCCCACATGGGACTGTGGTTTTCCAGTGGAGCATATAGCATAGGTGGCGAGTAGAGGAGACATATAGCTGACTTGATCAGGATTGGGCTTTGGCCTGGGAATTTCAGGACAAGGAGAAGTTCGTGAGGGAGTTGAGAAAATTATATGAAGTGGTGGATCATGTCGTATACGCCAGATGGAGAAGGAGGTGAAGACTGAAAAGGGCTCACGGAGTGGGACACAACTGGACAGGTCAAGGCATGTGAGATGTTGATGAAGCCAGATAAGTGGTTTAGCTGGGGATAGAGAATGAAAGTTAGAAGAAGAACAGGAACTCACTCTCAAAACTTAAAGGGCTGAGGTGGGCTAGTTCTGGCGTAAGACGCTGTGATCAAGAATGTAGCAGCAGGTGTGGAGAGAAGGTGGACTACGAGGGAGACGGGTACAGGCTGAGCTGCGTGTCGGATCTTTGTGGGGGTAGGTAACCATGCAGGGAACATTTTAAAGGAGAAGAAAGTGGTAGTACAAGAGTGGCCTGTGGTATAAAAATGGATTGTTGGGACATATGGGTCATGGTTGGAAGACTGTTGATTGTGCATCACTAGGGGAGTTAGAATACACTTCACCTGTCTACACGGGCCAGGGGGTGGGTGGGACTTGACCTGGAGCAAGAGGGGCAGACCTGGTTTAGTAAAATGGTAGAAGCAGTGTAAGGTCCTGAAGAGATCAGAGACTTTGTTTACCACAGAATAGACATTTCTGAAAATCTTGAGAATGGTGTCAAGCCGGGTCAGGAGAGACGAGGCAGGGATGAAATACAGGCATGGATGGCTCAGCGACAGGAAGAGCCTGCAGTTGGGTGGAAGCCAGCAATGACCTGGAGGTGCGGCATGAGGGCTTCAAGTTACCCGAAGGAGCGCAGTGAGAAAGGATTTTGTTTGTTTTTGGGGCTAGCTGACAGATTGTTGGGAAGAAACATTAAGCGGCAAGCATGGCTAATAAAATTGTGGCGGGAGAAGCTAACATTTATAGTGTTTTCTACATGCCGGGTGCTGTGTGAAATGTTTGATGTGGATTTATTTTATGGAATCTGTAGAACCACTCAAGGAGCTGGAAATGATGAGGTCATCATTTAAGTTTTCAAAATGAGGAAAAAGGATTTTAGAGTGATCATGCAAATGGCCCTTGGTCATAATCCCGTTAACTGTTGGAGTTGGAATCTGAGCCCAGGCAGGGTGAATGTACACCTTCTCTGATCTCCGTATTGCCGCCAGGATTTGAAGGAAGGAAACTCAGTTACCTCCTGGAATCAGACCTGACCTGTCACTGACGGAGGATTCGGGCTGATTTGCTGAATGCACAGATTTTAAATTAGGGGTCATCTGTGATGACTACAGACTTAATTTTTAGAGTTTAACTTATTTTTCATTTTGGTTTTGGTTGCACAGTATCATGAAAAGTTTGATATACTCAGAGGTAGTGGTTAATGGTAATGGGACCTTTAAAAAAACACCATGAGTTTCCCTGTCGGAATAATACTCAAGTAATTGGAAGTAGCAGGAAAAGCTGAAAACAAGTCAGTGTGTTAAGCAGTCTTTGATATGTTAAAGTTTGGTTTGTAACATTTGAAAATCACAGGTTTTTAAGTAGTGTATACACGTGTAACAGTCAAATAGTGTGTGTGGGAGTAATAATCTGAAATTCATCCATTGGAACCTTATTTAATAAGACTATATTACTTTCTCCTGGTTGATAATTTAGACCGTTTTCATCCTCTAAACCCCCCCTTGCTTTAATATCCTTCCTTGGGTAAAATGCTGTGCTGTGCTCGAACCTGTTAAACTTACTTTGTACTTGAAATTTACTGACTTCCCTTGTGAATAGGTAATTCAGGGACTAGACTGGTGTGGTTCTTGACCCGTGGAAAATAGTCCCCGCTCTCTTTAGCTACCTCCTTTTTTCTTTATATAGTTGTAATTACCACCCATGTAGCTCCTGTGGTGTAAGGGTTTCCAGAAGCAGTTGATCTTATAATTTGTAAAGACTAAGAGGAAACTGTTGTCAGATTTTACCTGGAGGTTCAACTTTCTCATTCACTGTTTCCTAGATTCGTTTTTCTGAACCCTTGTTTTTATAGATTTTGATTTGTTTGAGGCAGCAAATTTTAAAAACTTTGTTTTTTACTTCACTTTATAGTAGGAGAATTGGGAGAATAATAAAACCAAAGTTTTGCTTCCACCTTTGTCAAAACGAATAATAAAAACCACAATAATAAAATTGCTGACATTACGCTGGGTTCGTGTTCAAATTCTCACTACGCAGTGTAATAACAATTACCATCATTATTTTACGAGCTGGAACATCAATAGTGGAGATGGGGTTTAAACTCCCGGGATGTGCTAGAGAGGCTCTCTAGCATAATTTTATTTTATTTATTGATTTTTAAAGATCTTATTTATTAATCTATTTAGAAGATGAGAGAGAGTGTACAAGGTGGGGGGAGGGGCAGAGGAAGAGGGAGAGAGAGCATCCCAAGCAGACTCTGTGCTGAATGCAGAGCTGCGGTGGGGCTTGATCTCAGGACGCTGAGATCATGACCTGAACGTAATCACGAGCTGGAAGCTTAACTGACGGAGCTTAACTTCTCTAGCCTAATTTTAGAGTATCAGTTAGAAGTTAGGTGAAAGAATATTGTGACTTTTCTGGTCTCTTTTTCCACATTAAAAAAGAAAAAAGAATTCTTCCTGTATGTATATTCTATATAATGTGTTCATGTATATGCATAGTTCTTATCATGCTGTGGAGATTAGCACAGATTCTCAGGAAAGATGATTAAATTGTGACATTGTGGGGATGCCTGGGTGGCTCATTCGGTGAAGCATCTGTGTTCAGCTCAGGTCATGATCTCCAGGTCCTGGGATTGAACCCCATGTCAGGCTTCCTGCTCAGTGGGGGGAGTCTGCTTCTCCCTATGCCTCTGTCCCTCCCCCCCAACTCATGCTCTCTCTCTCTCAAATAAATAAATAAAAATCTTTAAAAAAATAAATTGAGACGCTGTCCTCCACTTTCCAATGATCTGTCAAGGAGCATGTTTCAGATTGAGGCTGGGAGAGAGCACCACAGGGCATAGCGGTCTGTGCTGAATAGCAGAGAAAGGGTGTGTGTGGCCCCTGCCGGTGTTCTTAGGAGCTGCCAGGCCTGGTGTGGGCTTTGACTGCCGCACCCTGCGCAGGGTCCCGGGTTGGCCATGCCTCTGGCTTTCCTGGCAGCTGGGAAGGATAAAGGGCTTCCTGTTTGAGCCAAGCACTGCTGCGCATAAAAGGCTTTCTTCAGTCTGGGTTTTTAAAATTTTCTACTTTCAGTTGCTTGACTCTGCCTGTTTTGACCTCTGACTTCTGGGTTGTATTTACAGTCTCTGAGGAGGACTTTAGACTGAAAAAAGTTTTAAACATGATCTGCTTCTCCTCCTACCTCCTCATTTTATAGATGAGGAAGTTGACTCATGGACATGAAATGAATTATTCAAAGCTATGGGACTAGTGGCCAGGACTAGAAGCCAATCTCATGACTTTACTGATGTTTTTCCTGTTACAAAATGATTTGTGACTCCCTACGAATTGCTTCCAATTCCTTATTTACTCATCCTGATCCTGGCTTCCTGCCTGTCTCCTTGATCCCTTGGCTTTGCCTCCTGTACTGATGGAGGGAACAGTTGTTTGTTGGTGTTAATCCCAGCTTTGGAATCACTGTGTGACCCCTGGTAGAGTCACTCTGTGCCTTAATGCCATTATCAGCAGATTAAGTAGGACCCTATTAGAGAGGTGCTTGAGAAAATGTAAATCATGTGAACTGAAGACCTGTTTTATTTAGTGGAAGAAACTTTTAGAAAATTTAATGAAAACAAATAAAGTATAGGGAAAAGTCAGTTAATACAGATTTCTTGTTGAGTAAGCTGAGCCAAGGACTTGTGAGAAAGTTAAAGAGACTTTAGATCAAATTGTCATGTAATGTAGTGAATTGGAGACATTTTTAATCTTTACACAGAATACCTGTTGGATAAAATCCTCCTCTGGGGGTGGTAATCTAGATTAATCTGTAATTTATATTTTTGATCTTGAACTTGGAAAAACACTTGGTTGAATTGTTTTAACGGATCTGGTTAATAAAGAAGAATCTCACTGAAAATTAGAATTTTCAATGCTGTGACATTTTGGCATATTAAAAAAACTAGATGCGTGGGTTAAATCCTAATTTTCTACCTGTGAACTTCTTTGAAACTCAGTTTCCCTATATGTAAAATGGGAAAAATATGCTTAGCTTTCCCGTGAGAATTATGAGGATCAAGTAAAATAACACTTGGCAAAGTTCTTGGCGCATAGTAGTTCTCCGTCGGAGCTAGCTTTCCTCCTAATGTTTTAATACTTTCTATTATGTTTAGATATCTGATATCCATGTTACTGGAGAGTCAGAGGACATGTCTGCTAAGGAGAGATTGCTCCTGTGGACACAGCAGGCAACAGAGGGTTATGCTGGAATACGGTGTGAGAATTTCACTACCTGCTGGAGAGATGGAAAACTATTTAATGCCATCATTCATAAATACAGGTATGAAATTGCGGGGGGGGCTTTTTCCTTAGACAAATATGAGAAGTGTTTCTTTTGATTTCCAAATTTCAAAATAACCTTTTATTATTTCAGAAGCAATACATGTGCATGGCAGAAAGTTAGAAAATACAGACCAGGCCTAAGTAGAAACATCACATTTCCACTGCTACGAGATCATCACTCTAAGCTTGTGCACACACACAGACTCTCATAGCTATAACACGTCTTTGGATTTTGCTGGTAACTTGGAAGACAATAAGGTCTGATAGTACAGAATCTTCAGGTGGATGAGCACAGTTGTGCCTGCAGAGGACTGATGAATGGGAGGGTGAGGGTGTGGTTCTCATTTAGCGCTCACACATATCCAAATTATAGTCTCTTAGGCTCATTACTCTGGTGAGTAGCAGGGTTCAGAAGTGACCAACTTTGGGGTGGTTAAAAGTTTTCTGGTAAGAATTGTTATTATTTTTTTTAAGCTTATTTGTTTTATTTATTCATCTCTACACCCAACATGGGGCTCGAACTCACAATCCCAAGATTAAAAGTCGGTGCTCTTCTGACTGAGCCAGCCAGACACCCCATCTGCTGAGAATTATTAACAACTAAATCCCAGTTAATACTGACATAGCACTTACTAAGTGTCTGATGCTATCCTATGCAGTTTTTACATATATTAACTTATTTAGTCCTCACAACATTCCTGTAGGAATATAATCATCCCCAGTTGACAGACAAAAACTGAGGCACAGAGTAAAACTTGCTTTTAGCCACATAGCCAGCAAGAGGCAGCTTTGAGATTCAGACCTGGGGCCTCTGGTTTTTGACTCCTTGCTTTTATTGTCTTATAAGGAGCTAGATCCCCAGAAAATATGTACTGAAAACAGTGTATTTCTTGATCTTTTCTTAGTTACTTTCCTTAGTTTTGCAAAGATTACATCATGTTGTCAAAGAACTGCCTTCCTAGATGGAGTAAGCTGAAGCTATAACTCATTAAACTAACAAACTTATTTGATAAAAACAATAATTATATAGAGTAGTTACTATTTTGTTACCTGTCTATATGTGAGGCATTCTGTTCATTGCTTTCCATATCTTATTTCATTCAGGTCTCCCAGCAGTCCAACAAAACAGGGACTGTTGTTATCCCACTTTCACAGAGGAGGAACCTTGGGTTTGCCAAGGTTATGCTGCTAATACATTGTAGAGCTGAGATTTTAATCCAGGTCTGCATGATTTAAAAATCCCGTTCTCCTTGTCTCTCTCCCTTTTCTTTCTGTTTTTCCATTCATTCCCCTTTTCTCTCCCCTTCTTCTCTTTTCTCATTTTTATTTTGGAAATTTCAACATTGGTAACACTGTAACAGATATCCCAAGCATCCACATGCCAAGCCCCTTTTAAAACACCCAGTAGTCTGCTTCCTTTATGGAACAACATTTTAGTAGAGGTAGGTACTGTCTGCCTGATTAAAAGGAAAAGCCAGAATCAACTTGCCTACACATGCTGAAAATAAAGTATCTGATCTCCTTGAGTAACACAATGCCAAGAGGGTTTAGTAGTTATAGACATTTCAGTGATCACAATGTACTTCTCAAGTGACTTAAAACAGGAGGCCATCAGAAGGCCTGTGTAGTTGGGCACATTCTATACCCAGGATGATAAGATCTTCTTGGCCTTTGAATAAAAATATCTGGATTGTTATACCTGAAGGATTTATGTCATGATGGCTCTTTGAGGGTGTGCTCTTCTCTCTTTGAAATGTTTTAAGTAGAAACAAAGCATTTAGAAGCCAGCTATTCTTCTAAAATAATTGACTTTTAAAAACAATGGTCTCGGGGCACCTGGGTGGCTCAGTGGGTTAAAGCTTCTGCCTTCGGCTCCGGTCATGATCCCAGGGTCCTGGGATCAAGCCCCGCATCAGGCTCTCTGCTCAGCAGGGAGCCTGCTTCCTCCTCTCTCTCTCTGCCTACTTGTGATCTCTGCCTGTCAAATAAATAAATAAAATCTTTAAAAATAAAAAAAATTTAAAAAAGACTATTGAAAACAAGTTAATCTTGTGTTATTAGAATTTAAAAAAATAAACAAAAAAAAAAAACAAGACAACTGGTCTCAAGACATTGTCTCTTCAATACTTGTGCAGGAGTAGAAGTACAAATTAGTATACGCATGCTATGTGTTTTTCTCTTAAGTACTTAAGTAAGTCACTATCTGTCAGAGATGGTCAAATTTCCTAGGAAAGTTTAATGATTTAGAGCTCATATTGCTTTAGGAGAGAATTTGGATCTCATGAATGTTATTTGTTTTGAACTTGTAATTTGGTGGATTAAGTGATACCAAATCAGTTAAATTCGGTTTAGAAGACAGTGGCCTTTTTCACTGGAAGAAATCTTTCATGTGTGGAACCGTATTTTGAGCTAAGGTCCTCAGACTTCTCTTTTTACTTAGAAAACAATCAAGTTTTTTTCTTCTAGCATGTGTAAGAATTAAATGGATAGGTTTGAACTACACATAATTTTCACCGTTGAATGCCTTAACATACTAAAGGGAAATGAGAAAGTTACAAACAATTGTAAAATCCCTATAAGCAAATTTTTGGATATTGGACAATAGTAATCACAATTAGTAGTGTCTAATTTATAGTTGTTTTTACTTAATAATTATTTCCACAAATTTTGTGATATATTTGGATTTGCTGTAGGAACATTTCCACTTAATTGAGTTTTGGATATAGTTTTTGGATAAAAAGACTTTTTTATATGAGTTCAATTTGACTTATGTAATAAAAATTATCTGAGGTAGAACATGTGTTTGGTTTCTACCAGGTCTGACTGTATCGAATACTTGGTCAATAAGGAGCTTAAGGCTTAGCAGGAAAGACCCTTCAGATTGTTGTTGTGGTGGCTGGAAGGAGGGATGTGGGGCTCCTGAGGGAGCAAGTTTGCATGTCCTCGAGAGAATATGAAAGATTCCTCTGGAGATTAGAAGGAAAATGGATACTGTTTATCATTGAAAAATAAACCAATACCATTTTTAGTAAGTGATCTCATCAGATTTTTATGTATATTATCTTCTGAAGATTTAGAAATATTGATCTAAAGTGGAAACAGAGAGCATCCTTCAGATTTTGTATTATTATAAATACTGTCAAAAGTATATGTCCAGCATATATTTTTATTAGTGCTCCCATATAAGAATATTATGACTTTTGAAGTGGAGAAAATGTTCGTTTATACCAGTAAGCAGTACTTTACTAATGTGAAGTAAAAAAGAAGGAAATTAATGAGAAACAACATTTAATTGCATAACTTGGAATTAGCCATCAATGAAAGTAGCATTGCAACAACTCATAAAGTACTGAGATAATAAGAGAACATGAAAACACTTAGCATAAGTAAGAGCAAAACCACAAGTGAACTGTTCTATAGTTTTGGTGTGTCATATTATCCTAAGGAATTGAAGAGCATGGATTATGCAATGGCTAATAAGAATGATAAAGTACTATGATTTAGTGGAATAGATTACGAAGGATAGTTCTGTAGTTTTTGTTTTGTTTTGTTTTTGTTTTTGTTTTTGTTTTTGTTTTGAGAGAGAACGAGGGAGCGTTTGCAAGTGAGGGGACGGGCATAGGGAGAGGAGAAAATCATAAGCAGGCTCCATGCTCAGCGCAGAGCCCAATGCAGGACTCAGTCTCATGACCCTGAGATCATGACCTGAGCTTAAATTGAGTTGGACACTTAACCAACTGAGCCACCCAGACACCCCTATTCGATCTACTTAAATAGGTCAATGATTCAGAAGATAACTGTGCTTATTGTGAGGATGGTGTAATATATAGAATTGTAGAATCACTATGTTGTATGTCTGAAACTAATATAACATTGTATGTCAACTATACTTTAATTAAAAATAAATATATAGGTTAATGATGCAAAAACCGTGGTTTTCTATTAATTCTGTCTTAGGAACCTGTTCCTAATTCCTTCTAGGAATGTCTGTCTGTTATGTTCAGTTTTTAATGCAAAGAATTCAAATAATTAAACTGCCATATAGTTGTACTAGTTTGTACTTGTTTGTATAGTTTAAGTTTCTTTAAAGCATATTAAAATCTTTCCACTGAAAACCACAACTGGTAAGAGATCTTGGGTAAATAAGCCTCACTCTTGACCCTAACCTTAATTTTCATTGAAAAGAATAATAAGGAAAACTGGATTTGATGGACTTGGATCAAAAGGATGTCACAAAAGCATTCGATGACTAAGTAGCTTAAAAACAAGAGAAGTAGAATTAACTGAGAATCCACAGCCACGGGATTCTAAGCTCTCATGGATTAATCACTCTGGTAGAGTCTGGATATAGAGGACTTAAATTCCCGTCAGTAGCACACATTCTTCACAGCAGGTGTTCCAAACAGAGGGTTCAACTGATTTTTCTGTGTTCTGATCTAAGAGCGTGCTCAAGCATCATAGTACAATTGATTTTTTTCCTTTTTTTTTTTTTTTTTGAAAGAAATAAAGCTCTGACTTCTAGCTTGAAATTCAGCCCCCACCTTGTCTTAATTTATCAGTCACCGCACGTAGATAGCTGCCCTAGAACATTGATGAAAGCCAAGTTCCAAAACAGCATCGCTCACTGTGAAAACACGTCTGCCTGAGCAGGCATGAACACGAACGTGGGCCCACAGGCCAGAAAGAACAGTGCAAAATGTGTGGTAGAGCCAGGCGAGCCTGAAGTGTGGTAGAGAAAGATGCTAAGTATGTCAGGACTGAAATGCGTGTGTGTTGGGGTGGGGGGATGTGTTTTGCAGAGAGACTGTTTCTCCTTGCTAGCATCTGTTAGTCCTAGTCTTGTTTTTAAATTATGCTGCTGTTCATTCATGTAAATTTCCTTTTGAGACCTCTGGCTGCCTTTTCACAAGCAAGTTTTAAGTATATCACTCAGGTAAGACTCAACTTCTCTGAAATAGATGGTATCAGGAGCACACCATTTAAATACTTTCTAATTAG